GACAGAATACTTTGTTGAACAAAAGCAGCAAACCCAAACAGGTAATTGTACCTAATTAATTGTCTTTTTTAAAGTTCTCAATATTTTTGTTAATAATAATTTATATATTGTACATTAAACATAAAATCATTACAATTGCATAGGATAAAGCAACCAGTAACGTAAGCCTTTCTAAAGACTGCAACAAAACCACCAGTTCTAGGTTAACGATGGCTGAAATAAACGCACTCATTGCGGAAAATATGCGAAATGTGAAAAAGCAACTTGACATATTGGAGATCGGCTTGCATGAGCTGAAGTATGGGAAATGCACCAAGTCATTAAAAAAGATGCCAGAAGAGCCGGCTCAAGTTCAAAAGCTGACTGCTCAATTGTCTGCAATGGATCAAATTAATGAAGCCATTGAACATAACAAACCTATTGAACTTTCTCTTGCCATGCAAATGTTTGAAGAATGTAACTCACCTGAAGAAAATTTAGATTTAAGAACTAGATTAAGTCTTTTAAAAAAACATATAACCGAGCAGAGAGAGAAACACTGACTTACAATATTCAATCGTCGAATGAGACTAGTCTGTTAGGTTTTGCCATGGAAGTGTCTAATGTATGAGACTAACTATCTGTTGCCGAGAAAGCGATAACAACGTGACATAATAAAATTTTTGAAACTCCTTTGTTTAGGAACGAAATTAATTAAAATTAAGCAAATGTATAAATAAATTTTGATTATAATTTTGAAAATCAGATCAATCACTTTTGGAGGGTTATAAAATTAAAATATTTATTTTGATTAATAGTGATATTGTATTGCATCATAAAATTAAAATTTTATTTAAAATCTACAGTGTCGATTTTATATCAACTAGGCACTAGAAAAAAACAGAGCTTAGTATCAGCATCCAGAGATTTTTCTACTCAGAGAAAACTTGTTAAAAGTATCTGTAGCACAGCTTTAGTAAACATCATATATGAATATGTGGGGCTGACAAAAATGTTTTTTTAAGATCTAGCATAAATTTTGTAATCTAGTATCTGATACTCTTCTAATGTGACTCTCTCAAACTTTCGAAACTTTGCCATATTTTCGTGGCATTATATAGCCCATTAATTGCTATTGTAGTAACCGTGTCAAGTTAGATTGAGAAGGTGCGAGCTCGAAAAACTGCCAATACTTCCAGCCGAAGATGCTCATTGTGGTGTTCTCAAAGTTGCCTGAAAGAGGTAGTTTAAGAAAACTGTTATTATCCCTGCGTATTATCTTAACTATTTAATTTTCAAATGAAGCTTGAAAAAAATGATAAGTATACTTTCGTTCTCTTTGTCAGATTGTGAAGAAAGAGGCTCCAAAACACTTGAGACACTTTATCTGTAGTCTCAGACAAAGACATAGAAAGTGATTAATGGATTCTATTTTTTCTTCAGCATATCAACTCCTGCGCAATCCATTGAAGACAGAGTTCCCGTTAGTATTCTAGTAAGTAAACGAACTGCAGATTTACAAAATTCCAAAAAACTTTTCTTTTATTGTTACCTAATATAGGTCATAAGACTAAGTATTCGTGTTAATGGACATGTTTCTGTCCTTAGTTTTCCAGATAACAAAAAGTTCAGAACCAACAAATAATAATAAAATACAAATATAATTAAAGCTAATCAAATACTATTCATCTCCTCGCAAACGTGAAGCATTCTGCTAATATATCTTGCTTTAAGGTCCATATTCTCATATTTATCATTTCCATTCTCTGTAATATCCATCCTTAACTTAAATTTCTTAGCATCTTATTTGAAGTTTTATAAAAATTTACACAAATCAAATTATTTTGAAACATCAACAATATTATATAGAATGTTTCATAAATATAACACCTGTAACGAATAATATAAGTAGGTTCAATACAACATGGTCACGTCCTTTCTATATTAAAATTATTTAATTGCAAATACATCAACTCAACTGAAAATCACAACATTTCGACAGATTATTTCTGCCATTTTCCATAATCTGATAACATGTAAAAAATACCTTCCAAACATATCGACTAAAATATATGCCACCAAAAACAAGGATATCACAGGCTCAAACTGACATATACAACACTAAAAGCAAGACGTACACAACAAAGGATACGGACCACAATTTAAATAATGAGCTTTGAGTAGTCCAAAAAGTCCAAAAAAAGACTATTTATTAATAATAAAACAATAACGTTTGCAAAAGTGATTACTTCTAAAAATAAAGAGCAACGCGAATATTTCATCATAACTGCCAATTGAGTTGATAATATTGCAAATTCCAATGAAACATTTGTTCATGCAGTAAAACGAAGAAAAAGGATATGAGTTATGTGCCGAAACATGGTTAAATATCAAAATATTGCATTACTCGTAAATCCTAGTGACCAATATTACATTCCCTGGTATTATGATTGCATCACTGCACACACATAATTCACACGTACGGGCAGTTAGTTGCATTACATTTAAGTTGCACCAAAAACCAACAAAATCCTTAACATTATGCAGCACAACTGATGCCATCCAAATTCCTCATGCAACGCAAAAGCACGGCACTCGAACGAACCCTCATTTGGAGTCGAGCATGCAGGCTCAGATACTTGTCGGTATTACGTGTGCTCCTGCCAATCTCGTCACCTGTGTACGTGTAATATTGAATATGAATTTTATATGTGACTGCAAATACAGTATGGGCACTGGCATTGGCTTTGGCTACTGCTCCATACACATTTCCATTTAATTTAAAAATTTTCAAAGAAATAAACAGAAACTGCCATCAAACATAAAAGCGGAATAAATTTCAACGAATTCATATTGAGTATTTTTGGTTGGATCGGATTAACGTTGATAGGTCTTTGTAACGCTGAATTAAGAATATTTAAAAATCATTGCGACAATATAATATAAAGCAGAGGACTACAGAGTACACTGTCAGTTTAGCTTTATTCGTTTTATAAAAAATATATTGGTATATTTATTTATTAATTATATGGTAATGTACATAGAGATTTTACAAGCGATCAAACGCATACAGTGTATAAATTAATCATTTTGAAAATCTAATGTACGAGTACCTAACAGAATATCGTAACAGATTGATCATCGCGCCTACTATACTTAGGAGAATATTGCACAGTTATCAAAATTATAAGTGATCCTTCGTGATCCTCCCCTCAGTGCGAAGCAATATTTTGGATCGCTTTCTAAACCATGGGGTTTTATTTTTGCGCTAGTTTTTACTAATGACATACGCCACTTAATTAAATGGCATCATGTCTTCTATGGCAAGCTTACTTTGATTGGACTGGCGCTTAAAGAGGGTGAGAGAGAGAGAAAGACTGAATCGCTTTTTAGTGCGATCTTGTATTGCTGTGTTTGTTCTTGCTGTTTTTTGTGTAACCTATTTAAATGGCATCTGTCTTTTATAGCAAGCTTAACTTGACCAAACTGGCACTTAGAGAGATAATGAAAGTATCGCTTGTTAACTTTCTCATTATTGCTTTAATTCCTGTTGTTGGGTGGTAACCTATTTAAATAGCAACATGCCTTCTTTATCTTTTTCTTTTAAAAATTGAAATATCGAGAGAGAGAGAGGTTCGCTTTTTAGCTCCACTTTGTTATTGGTGTTAGTTTTCGCCGCCTCCTGTCTTAAATCAAATCACACATTATATAAAAATACTCAGGTATGCAACGTGGAGGAAAATATGGAAACTGTTAGTCGAATTACTATAGTAAATGTTTTATCGGTGCTGCCTTATATGAAAACTAAGGCTTAATTTATACATGCAGTTGTATAATTCTAATATAAGTTGATACTTTTAACTAATTTAATCAATTTTTAAAAAAAAGTTTAATAATGTTAGTTACATATACCTAAATCTGCCCTACTGAGTACTCGAACCAAACTGAACCGTGCAAGAGTCATTATCCTCGTATCCTCACTTCACATATAAACCAATGCACCTGCCTCAAAACAGAACACTTTCATTTGGTCATAAATTTAATCCGTGTTCCATGCTACTTCCAGTTGTTTTTGTGTATTTGTTTTTGTGATAATTGCTGTTATTTTTTAACATTCTAGTTAACTTCTATGGCGCGGACATTACGCGCATAAAACATTTGGTCGAAATTCACATTTTATACAACTTACAGACCCCACTGAATAACGCACCCGTCAAACAGACACGTCATAAATCTTTCGCAATATGAGTTTATTAAATTGTTCCTCTGTCACGGTTAACTTTTTGCAGAGCTTTTGTTATTAGGGAAACTGTTGCATATGACTAAGTTTCATATTGAGAGATTGTATTGAAGGGAGGAAACAAAAATAGAGAATTATAAATGAGTTATCACTTTAACGGGGTTAGATTTAGATAACCTTAAAATCATAGTAGCTTGACACGTCTTTACAAACAGAAACTGAAAGTACGAGCTGTTTATTCTATGATGGGAAGATTGGGAACGAGACGCAATAACTTTGCTGCTCTCCATAAAATGTTGGTAGTATGTCAATGAAGGTTCTACCTTCACGACATATGTAATAATAGATATTCTTGTAGTAAGGTTAAAAAAAATTCAATTAATTTCGACGTTACCTTATATATACCACCTTATGTATACCCACCTATACTATTAGAGATCTTTAAGTGTAATTGGCATAGAAAGAGTACTAATGCAGCTATGTGGACGACGGAGGCGAAGAAACAGTTGAACAAGACTTAAATAGTTTTGTAGCTCCGGTTGGATGCCTTACTATGGTAATTTGCAATTACACCTTAAGTTCTCTAATAGTAATATTCAGCTCTAGGACTATATATATTTTTCGCTTTATTAAGGTTTCCATATAATTCCATAAGTAAAAGCCATTAAGACTCCACGTTAACTGGTCTTATCTCAATAATCCCATACACTTTAGGTTTTCTAATAGTAATGTTAAGCTCTCAAATTTCATATAATCTAAAACTATTATAAATAAAAGCAGTTAAGATCCTATAATAAATGGTGGTGTCACTGCTACTACTACTACTACAACATACCCTAATATTTTTTCCAAAACTCCAAATAAACTTAACCACATTCTAAAACATAAAGGAGTTATTCATATGCCATTTTTATATTTTTCTAAAAAATGACTGAAGAAGTTATATAAAAGGTCCCCAGATTTAAAGGACAAACGTGTACACAAAATGGTGGTGCAGTAAGTTTTGATATATGGTACAGTATTTGACAAAAGTCCCTTCGTTAGCACATAGGTTGTTTATTTTTTCAACTTGAATCGTTTTGTTTGATTTGACTCTATCAACCAATTTGTAGATGTAAAACTTTATCAACATATTTACAAAATCAGCAACACCACATATAATTGTTAGCTTAAAACACGCAAAGTTGATTTACATTTTGAAACATTTTTAAATTCCTATATATTATGCGCGTGACTTTATTTTTTACAGTAGTAAAGTTGTAAATTTATTTTTACTTAAATCAAAAAGTATATATTTTTTACATTTTTTTTTTAGAATTTTTTTACAACGCTAACAATTTTATACCACATCAACAAAAACACCTACAATAGCAAACCGCAGACAGCATGGCTTCATTAAAATGCAACAAGGTAACATAGATACTTCAGCAAACTGCACCCACTTCATGATACTGATTTGCTAGATAAAA